AAAAACAAAACTTGAAAAAAGTGCCAACCACTTTTATCACTTAAAATTTAAATTCAATTCTGAAAAAAAAAGAATCTGTTTGGGTGACAATGGACAAAATAAAAATGACATGAATAATAATATAAAAATTTTCTGTCATTTAAATGTCTACCGAATTGACATAAATAATAATTGATTAAGCTATGAATTTATGGTGAACAAAAAAAACTAACTACACATTGATTGTTTCATAAATTTATAACAAATGAATATAAAATTCAATTACATAGACAGAAAGATGGATAGAAAAGAATGAAATAAAAATTTAAATTTAAATTTTCAAAAACAAAAAACAAATAATACAAATAAATTGTGTCCGATATTTCAATTTCATTTTTTCTGTCACACAATGTGCACATCAGCAATTTTCATAGAAATTCTTTTTTTTTCGGGCAGGCAAACAACAAAAACAAACAGAAGAATTTTAAAGTATAAATCAAATGACATGGACAAATTTAGTTGACAGCGAATAATTTCTTAGACAAATTTTTGTTTTTGTTTTGTTTCCTTGTCTCTCCTCATATAGTAAATCGTGATCATCGTGATCATCATCATACCAGAGATGGAAACAGACTATCATTACATTCACAAAATGTGTGTTGAATTCGTTTTTTTTATTATTTCACACCATGATCGAAACGATATGACTGTGTACAAGTTTGAAAAGAATTAATTAAATTTGTTTGCCTAAGTCGACAACAAAAGAATGGGCTCAGGTCTTTTTTTTAAATTTGTTAAAAAAAAATTCAAGACAGACAAAGAATAAAATCATTTCAATTCTTCATGTACGATGATAGTGTAAAGCAATAGCAGCAAACAAAAAACAACAACAACGAAAATCGATTCAACTAAATTTAATTGAATTTTTTTTCTTCTCTGTTTCCATCTCTCTCATTTTCACAAACATTCATTTGACAACGAATAAAACGGTCGAAAAAAAAATCTTTGAAAAGGACACAGGTCTGCTATCGAATTGAAAAAAATTGTTGTTTATTTTGTTCAATCATTTGAAATATCGTTCTAACATGGAAATTAATTGAAAAAAATACTTTATATTTTTTACCCGAAATAAAAATTTGTTTTTTTTATCTTCTTTTTTTTCAATTACTCGTTTGCAATTATAATCAAAGACCGAAATAAAAAACAGACATCCAGTTTAGTTTTATTCATGATGTAATATGTAAAGAATAAAAGAGAAAACAAAACAAAGAATTTAATTAGAATCATTTCATTCAAGATTTTTTCACATGATTTGTTTACATCATTTTGTTTGATTGAATTTTTTTTTCTGATTCATATATGGTGAAATTGAAAAAAAAAACAGAAAAAATTGTCGAAAATCAAGCTTATTTGAATACATCAAAATTCAATAATTCAAATCCGACTAAGATTTTCATTTTTGTTTCTCACTATGAACAAAAAAATTCCAACGAAATGATAAATTTTTATCCTATCACTGTTTTTTTTCTTAACACCTGAATTTTAACGAAAATGGATCTTACTGATTTCAAACAAAACAAAACAAAAAATAAATATTAATATGTTTTTTGTTTCAAACAAAAAACAACATAAAGAAATTCTGTTGTTTTCAAACAAAATTTAAAATTATAAATAATGTGTAAGAAAATTTATAATAAAAATGATGTATGTTTATCTTATGCTGATGTTGATTGATTTTGAAATGAATGTATATTATTTTGAAAATAAAAATGTTATAATACAAACAAAACGGATGATTGAATCACAGAATGTTTAAATTTTTTTTCTTTGTCTATTTGTTCAGAAAAACAACAAGAAGAAAAATGTGTTGTTATTTTTTTAAATTAAAAATGTAAATTTTTCATTTCAGAAAAATATATTTATATAAATCAGCATCCACACACACACACAAAAAAACGAAAATATAAAACAAAATGAAAATGGATCAAAACGATTCGAATGGAAAGTATTTCCTTTCATCATTTCTTTATTTTTTTGTTATTTTTTGCTATTGCTTGAAAAGTGAAAAAGAGAAAATTGGAAATAGTAAAACAAAACAAAAAAATTCAATAAAAACGTTTTTGTTCCGGATCGTTTTTACTAATATCATGCAATAATGTTGATGATGATGATGATTCAAAGTTTACGTTTGTAAGAACAACAAACATACGAAAAAAAACATTATGAAATGAACCGGGACAAAATTGGATGTTAGTGCACAAACACAAACATATACCCGAAGAGCAAGAGAGACTATGATGAATTCGATTCTTAATTTACTATTCTTTGGCCACCAATTTGTCGTCATCATTGACGGGACGATTCAAACACACATATACAAACACACAAGAATAAATATCGTACGCGAGTAAAGTTTATTATTATTCCGAAATTTTCTACGTCTTCTTTTTTACTTTTTTTTGTCATCAATTTTCAAAGTTTTGTTTTCATTTTGGCCCACATTTTCATCATGTATATATCATCTAGTGGAGAAAGAAAAAAATGCTCAAAGTCACATCTCTAAAACAAATATTTGTCCTTTCATCTACCATAGTTATCTTTGTCATCTTATCATCATCATCATCACTGTGAATAGAACACATTTATTTCCTTTTTTTTCATTGCCTCTTTATTTGAATGGAAGAAAAATAAACGAAGATTCCGAATGAAAATTAAAAAAAAGAAGAAGATATTCTTAGCATTATCATGGAATCTTATTTCATGCATGCTAGAAAAAAAAACATCATGATGCTCATGATGTTGATTCAAAATTGATATCCACAAATAATAGAAACAAAACAAGGCCACAGAAAAAAGTAAAAAATAATAATAATTTTACTTTATTATGAAGAAGAAAATTTTCAATAAATAAATGAACAAATGGTAGCCGGAAATTTCCTGAAAGCAAAACTGAAGTCGAATAAGAGGGATGTTTACCCTTTTATTTTTTCGTTTACAAAATGAAATCATATAAATAGTGAAAACTTTTTCTTTGGGCAATTCTTTTTTTACTTCCTTTACTTAGTTTTATTCCATGTGTGAAAAAAAAGTTAAATTCAACACAACAACAACAGCAGAAATTGCAACGTATTAAGCTTATTAGGCGTTGGTTTTGCAAATCTGTCAAAAATTTGAAGCGGCATTCACATTCTATTTCAAAATCTCATTGATATTCAATAAACGGAATACTTTCCACATCAAAGAGGGTAAAAAATTCATCCATTTTAAAAATCGTAGCTCTATTTCGACCGGAAGATGATCGATTGAATGCAAATCGCCGTCATAAACAAATGGTTAATTTTTTCCGTTTATAATAATAAAAAATTTCATTTAAAAACTTTCAAACTATTGGCCAATGAAATGATGATGATAATGAACCAATCAATCAATCTATCGATATAGCGAATTCATCTATTTCATACTTTAGAATAATGTTGGTGATGTTCAAATGCATCTAGCTTCAAATATCGATAAACCGAAAATCTGATTTGTGGCCAACACCAACACCAACAAACTGAATGAATTTTTTTTTGTTGTTGCTTCGTGAATTTATTTCTGTCACGTCAATTTAGATATAATGTTAGAGATTCTTATTTTTTATTCATTCATTTGACTTTAGTTCAGTTGTTCAGTATTCTTCGAATGCATTGTTCTTTCATTTTTTATATATCTCTATCTATTATTTTTTTTTATCAGATCGAGAAATGATGAGAAATCCTGTCCATCATGTTCTTATCTTCTTCTTTTGTTTTTGCTTTCTCTCTCTCTTTCTCTCGCTTTGAATGTATGAAACGGATTTGATTTTTTTTTGTTTTTGGTTTCTTTTCCAAAAAAATATTCAGTGTAAGCAATTGATATTCAATAGGCGTAGGTAATTTCTTCCTTTTTTACTTCTGTTGTTTGCTTTATCATTTTTTTCACTATGTTTGCTTGCGGTCATGATCATCATCATGATTTAGATGTATACAGATCAAGCAAAATTTGGTGTTTTGCAACAGAATTTTCCCAGAATTAATTGATAATTTTCTTTCCCAGTTAACCTAATATTAATAACATGAATAATGTTTATACTGTTTGTATGTTGTTTATTTCCCGCTGTTATGTTTTTTTTCTATGTGTTTTTCCATTGTGCGGTCAACAAGATTCTGATATCACATCAAAAAACAATGATAATGATAATGATGATTGTGATCATAATTACCACCAATTATGATTATCATTCTACAATATAGTACAGTTGAACATTGAATTTATTTTTTGCTTTGAATAAATATTTTAAAAAAATTAAAATCCAACATTGCTAAAGCTGTGCATTTTATATAATTGAATGAATGAACGCATACAAAGTTTGACGGGAATGATTTTTTTAATACTTTGTAACGAATATTTGACTAAGCTATTAATAATAAATTAAAAAGCCATAAATCAAAAGAAATTTGGTTTTTTTCGGGTTTTTCGGCAGTTTTTTTTTTGAAACTAAAGGAATATTTTATAATAGAAAAGCTATAAGGTTAATCAATGTTCAACAAAAAAAAAGTAAAACAATATCAGTGAAAATGAAAAAAGTCTGGATTTTTTATAGATTTTTTTTCTCTAAAGTCAACACAAATAATTGTCGAGATCGTCGAACATAGATTAACTATTTTTTGATTTTGGATCGATTCGGAAAAAAAGGATAGGAAAAACAAAAATTCCAGAAACGAAACGATTTTCAATGTTCCACTTTCTATAGATTCTTTCTTAGAAACTTTTCTTTTCATTCGTATATTTTGAATTAAAAGAATGGCAGTCAACTGATCTGCTTGCCATCACCCTAGCCTATGGCACTAATTAGATTAAATGATGCGTATAATTGACTTAAAAGAGAAACGTGAAGATCTGTAAATGTTTTATATATAATCAATGAAAACTTTACCAATTGAATCAAAAACCTATGAAAAAAAATGAGAAAGAAAAAAAAACAAATTGATAATAACACTTGCCTTGTGTTTGATTCGAACGAATCATTATGATTGGATCGATTGGTGGTAATGGACTTGCGGCTGGACCATTTTTAATACGCCATTCAAATATGACATTCAATAATAATTGAGAATATTGGTATGAATTTGGATGATTAGGATGATAATAAAAGGATGATGATGATGTTGAACCGGATGTCGAAGATGATGATGATGAAGATGATGTTCCGGATGATGATGTAACAGGAGTATTACTGCCACCATTATTACTATTACCTGGCATCATCATCAAATGACTAACACCATTGACTGTATTGACAACAACAAGGCACTTCAACACTGCTACATTGCCTCGAGATACAAATTCGTCATATAATTGTATCTGGTCGATTGTATTCAACAATTCTGTTTGACTTGTTATTGTGGATGATGATGTTATAAAATTTTCTTGATTTGATGCTAAATTCATTTCATGACCAGAAGCTATATTATTCTTATTATGATTGAATGATTTTCCGTTATTCGGTCCTAAATGTTGTCCAATAGGTTTGAGAAAAGAATTTGCCAATGACGATTGTGATGATGAGCTTCGATTCAATCCGTTAGTGGTAACTGTGAATTAAGTAGAAAAAAAGAAAAGAAAACCATTATCGTATTTGAATGAAAGATTGAGAGCAGTAATAGAAATTTTGAAAGTGGTAAAAAGAGTAGAAAATTATAACATTTATTTATTAATTATTGCGATAATATCCCCTAAAGAATTTCCGGAATCTGAACCAAAATGATTAAAAGTCTGTGAGAAAGAGCAATAGAAAGACGACAAAACTTTAGTCAACATTCATTATGTTTTTAAAGTTTTTTTAATTAAAGTTTTTATTTTTGATTTGATTATTTTATAATAATATTTTTCAAGTACGAAAGGGTTGAATAAACCAAAAGTTTGAAAAGAAGGAAAAATCGGTTAAATAAATAAATGAATTTTATTGAACGTCAACCACGAGAAAAAACGCAGATCTAGTAAATGACATTTTCTACACCATTACTTTCAATTCCTTACTCCAAATATTTGATCCATAATCGATTTGAAAATGATTTTTGTTTTTGTTTGACAAAAAAAACTTTTAAGCTTCGTTTATGAAACGATAATTTATTTAACCGGAAAAAATATTAGAAATCCGAAATAACCACAAAATCAAAACATGTTCAATTTGAAAACACAACACTATTCTATTTGAAAAAAATTATTTCAAAATGGCAGAAATGATTTGATTTTGATTTGTACAGTGAAGAAAAAGTCAGGTATAAGATTTTATAATGCAAAGAAAAAAAGTTTTTATGATTTTCAGAAAAAAAAGAATTCCAATCATTCATCGTTGTTTTGGAATGATGATTTGTACAGCTGTGTCATCGACAAATTCTCCTTGTAAAATCAGCATTCTAATTCGTGGACAAAAGCAAAATTTGTGTTTAATTAAAAATGGTTTTCGACTATAATTTTCACAAAAAAATATTGAAATTTTTTTTCTTTGTTCAATGTTCATTTACATTTACATAATAATAGTCAAAAAAAACAAGGAAAAATGAGCATCGGAACAAAATATCAATTAAAGGTTAATTAATCAATTATTTGGTAAAAAGTATGTAAAAAAAAAAGTTTTGCTGTTGTTCCAATTTGCTAATAATATTACTTCGAATATATTTTTTTTCGGTCAGAATTTTACTATTATATTAACCAAAAAATAATAGTAGAATTCAATAAAGTAGTTGTCATCACAACCGATCATCAATGAACAGAATTATATAATAAAACAACTTGCATTCATGTTTGGCGTCATTTCAAAATAGACATAGACAGACACTTGGAACAAGATAAAGTAATATGGTTATATCAAATAGTGATAAGTGTAATATTGTTTTGGAAAAAGAAAATAGAAAAGAAACAAAATATCAACAACATTTTAGCTGATGAAAACATAAAAGATCCATTTGTGAGTCTGTGGTAATTTTTTCATTTATTGATACATTATTTCATTATCATCACTATTTATAATCATCATTTTTCGTCGTCATTTATGTCGATGATTTGATATTTTTTTTATGTATGACAAAAATGAATTTTATTAGATTGTGGCCATATTGAATTACAGTACATTCATTTTTTTTTGCATTAATTATCAATTATTCAACATTGTATCAAAAAAAAAACGATTCATGTCATGTGTTGGTGATAAACTTGTCTGGATTAACCCTTTCAAATTTGGACAAGATTTCTGGAAATTTTCCAATGAAAATTTTGATATCTAATGGCAACAGCAGTAGCCTGAAACAAATGAAAAAAAACATGATAGTGATGGGTATAAAATTGTCAGAACGATTGTGAAAATGAAATGGAACAAAAAAAACTGAAACAAAAATCTTGCAACACCGATAGAACAAGACCAAACGTAAGGGAAAAAATCCCAAATACAATTAAAATGACAAATGATGCTAATTAAAATGAATCTTCTCCTTTTTTTCCTATTTCTCTGTCTCTGTTTTTATCTTCACTAAATGTATCTGGTTTTTTCAGTGTTTCTAGATCGTTTTCTGTTTCTGGTTACTGGTTTTTTTCTTGTGTTGTTGTTCTCTTGTAACCATTAACCAATGGTATTTGTGTGTGTGTGTGCATGGCATATATGCAATAGGCCAGAGAAAATATAGAGATATCGTTTGGTTTCTGGTTCTTGACGTTTTTTTTTGGTTAACTGTTTGAGAAAAAAACAAGAACCCAAGAGAACGGTTGTGTATAAATGAATAGGAGAAACAAAAAAAAATTCTCTACATTCATAAATGTTAGCCTAAGAAATTTGTTATCGCAACTCACACCTCTCTGACCTCATCATTTCATGATATTTGTCCATTTAGATAAAATATATGGAACAAAAAAAAATAATTGAGAAAAATGATGATCTAACCGGAATGACGTTTTCGCTTCACAAAATATAAGGGGAAAAGGAAAGAAGAAGAATAAACCCAAAATTCTTGATGATGATTCTGAGCTTATTTCTAAGGTATGTGAAGAAACAAAAAAAAAGTAATGTTTAATTAACTTTTTTTCGAAATGACAAGACAAAAAAAATTCTCCAATTTCTATTTCCATAACAAACAAACAAAAAAAGCAAGATGATTTGTTTTTTTTTTGTTTCATTTTTTTAATGAACAAAAAAAAACAACAACAAAAACATGGATTTAATTTACATCGTTAGCACACGTTTTTCAAATTAATCGATTCTTTCTCAAAAAGTACAAACCAAATGCATTTAATTAATACATTTGTGTTTGCATTTCTATTTACTTTAATTAGAATTAACAATAAATAAATAAAAAGATGATAATGATGATGCGGAAAAAAGTAAAAAAACAAAACATTTTAATCCAAACAAATATTTGATTTTCATATTTATTAAAGACAAGACAATTCATGCAAAACAATGGAAGAAAAAAAACGATGATTATGTAGATAATAATCTTGTGTAACAGTGTTTTCCTATCATTTTTCTGGTACGCAAATCGAGGAAACAGTGTTTTTCAACAATCGGTTTATTTTTATGAAAACAAATGTAAAATTTGACGATTCTTTCAATTTATATGTCAGCAATATTTAAAATTCATAAATAAATGTTTGTTTTCTCCGAAAAAAAACAAATGTTTACCGATTTAATGCTTAGGTCATCAGTGAAAAAAATGACAGTTTTTGTTGTTAGCCGAAATCGAAAAATAGTCGTGTTCCATTGATAACATGAATTTAGTTTAAAAAAACAAACAACTAAAAAAAGGAGGTATATCAAATCGACATTAAGATTGTTTTGTTTGTTTTTTTTCAAAGTTAAATTTTTTCAACAATATTTTGATGATGGTATCAAAAAATAGAAGGAAAGATTCGTTGGTTACAGATATTGTGTCATGTACTACATAAATTCTATTTCCCCAAAAAAAAATTGAAATGAAATAAATAAAACTAAATGTAAACAATAAGAATGATGTAAAAAAGAGACTAATGAGACATTAATTAATTGTTGTTTTGTTTGGTTGTTTTGTTTCAAATGAAGAAACAAAACGAAAAAGATATCCAAAATAAAGAATTTTCAAAATAAAAACTACAAGCCAAACAAATTTGAAAATGAATGAAACATTATATTATAACGTCAGTGAACAAGAATCAAAGCAGAAATAGTTAACTATAGTCATTTGGTTGGTCGGTCAGTTTAGCCTTTATCATGTCAATTTATTTAGATCATCATTTTTGTTTTGTCTTTTTTTTTGATTTTCATGTTCTTCTTTCAGGGCAGGGAAATGATAACTTATTTGATTTCAAGTTACAGTAAAATCTACGTTCAATGTGATGCTGCAATGATGATGATGATGATAATGATAATGATTGTAATCGTTTACAATGACTATAAATAGTATGAATAGCTTACAAATCTAGCAATAGGATTACTGATCCATTGGTCCATGAATACAAAGATAATATTCTGTTCGCAATGATATATAGATTTCAAGACAAGAAAAAAACTTGGAATAGAAATCAAAGTACAAGATGGAATGATAACAATACAAAAAAATTATTCAAATAAAGGGGTAAAGAACTATACTTTGAATAGTTAAGTAGATAACAAACAACGGAAAAGATAATTTTATCTGCACTAAAATAGCCAAAAAGAGACAAACAAAACAGCTAAAGATATGTTATAATGAAAATAAAATAAAATTTCATATTATGATAATCAAAACTGTGAACTTGTTTTTCTTTGGTTTTTGCCATTTAAAATCTTTGAATAAAAAAATCATTTTTCATCAAAAGAAAAATGATTTTATCAACTATTCGGCCATCAAGTTAACTTTGATAAATTGACATAAACATTAAAAAATGTCTGCATCGGCATTCCGGTCATTTTTTTTGGAATGAAATCTGCCATCACCACAATCCTGGTTTTATGAATAGTATAAACGCAAAAAATTAATAATCAATGGAATTTATCAAATATACCATGATATTGGTGACAATTTTTATTTTCGACTTTATTTTCTTTTTTTGTCAAGTAAATAATGGTAATAATAATGAATTCTGTGAAAATCAAAATAATTTTTTGATCATCATCAAGAAATGAAAAGACATCCGCGAATATATTAGCAACAAGACGAAAAGGAAAAAAACGCAAAACATTCATTCATATTATAGAATTAAAAAAAACCACAACAACAACAACAACAAAAAACCGATTCAACATGAAACGATGACACATTTCATACAACAACAACAACAACAAGATCTGAACAAATATTTCTTTCATATTTGATTTTTTTTTCTTTCATCTTTCTTTTCAAAATGAAAACCGATTCCGTTTTGCTATTTTCTAAGAAAAAATTTTCAAAAAGCAAATTTTGTAACTCAACGGAAACATTTTTCATCATCATCATGATGAAAAAAGATATGACGATTGAGTGAAGATGAATGGACTTCAAATTGAATCCAAAGAAAAAAAAGGAACCAGAAAAAAATCCATCATCAAAATCATCTGATTTGTTTGTTTGTTTGTTTGACTATCTGTTTGTTTTTTATGGGCTTTCAT